TTCCTGCTGTGAAAGTACACTGAGAATCAGGAGGGGCAGGTAAAGAAGAACTTGGAAGATCCATTGACCGCTCTACTCTAATTCAAATAGCCTTTGTCTTTCAGATGATGTTTTACATAAGTTTAAAAATTGCATCCATTTATTAAAACATTTTACACACTGTAAAGTGTTAAGATCCATATCACTTTAAAAAATTCACCCATTGCTCCATTGTTGATGATTACTCTTCCCATGGTATATCAAATTTCAACTTGATATACTTTATTATTTCTGAAGCTTAAAGTATATGAAGATTTGAGTGCTTCCACGTTCAAACTCAACACTCTTTAATGATTTTTTTAAAAAAATACAACTCATTCTAGGCAGAGGGACTTTAGAAACCACTTTACAACAATTTTGTGGTATCCATTTTAAGATGCCAGTAGGAAGTCAAAATGTAATATCAGGTTCTAAGAAAGTGGTATAGATGTGAACTGGTTGCTTAGGTGAAATGATTGATTGATGTGATTTTGTTTTGTTATTTCAAGGGAGTGAAAAAAATAGACCCCAAATTCTATGAAAAATTTATCAGTCACAGATTTGGAGAAGAAATGGTACGTCGCATAGATCTTTGCTCCATGCTGAAGAAAAAGCAAAGTAATGGTTATTATCATTGTGAGTCTTCAATTGTGATTGGTGAGTGCCATTTAAAAATTACTTATTATCTTTGATTTTGATTTCTTTAGCATCATTTTGTTTTGGCAAATGTTTATGTTGTATGTTTTTCTCAATGACGTATTTTCCTAAATATTACGTTTTGACAGTAATACATTAAACATTTTGTAGAACATATTTAGTATTCATGTTTATCAGTCAAGATTTTAGTACCTATAGTTTTTATACTTTTGTGCTTTAAACACAATCATCATGAAGTCTTCAAATGTTGATTCATAATTCATTTCAGTTTTAATTTTATTTTGTGTATATGAAGAAAGCATTTTCTCCAGTGAAGGCCTACGTGACCACAGCATTCTATACCAGGCATTTTTGTGTTCACTGCTTCTAATTAGGAAGAGAATGTGCCAGGTCAGAAAGTTTCACTCTGGGAAGGGAAAGCATAGGTGGCCTGCAAAGATTGAAAACTTGTCCTTTAATTTCTTCCCGAAGAAAAACATGTTTTAAGGGGAAACAAAGATTCATACATAAATGCTCTGTCATCATATCAGGGAGATGGCATGTGATGAGACAGGTTCATACACAATTACGTTTCTGAGTGCAAAGTGTGTACACCAAATGAAGAATCTGAAAAACTGGAACAGGGGTATTTCTCATTGTTTGCAATGTGAATGTCTTTTAAAGGAGCCTGATCTGTCGTGATTAAAATATACAATTTCAAACTGGGCAGTATTCTTACAAAATTGTGAACTTCAAGACAACCTGATTTGTATACTTTTGAAGTAACATGAAAATATTCAGAGAAGATAAATACCAGTATCTAAATATTTCAAGGTCTTCAACCAAAGTAATTTCTCTCCATGTCACCTTGAAGAAAACCTATGGAAATATACATCCTGAAAGAATCTTTATACTGAAGTTTAAAGTATTTTAAAAATGTTCAAGAGACACAACTTTGTTTCTAAATTCTCACTAGAGATCTTCAGAGAAGTCATTATTTATTTTACCTTCCAAAGATCTTAGCTATCTTAAACAGAAGATAATTAATATGTCATTTGAATTTTATGTTCTGGAACATTTCAAGTGTGCTTTAAGGAAGATTTTTGTGTTTTCAGAATCTCTGTAAGAGAGGTGCCTTCCATCAAAGTTTTGATGAAGACCAAACATTGCTGTTTAGGTTCATTGTAAAAGGCAAATTTAAATGCTTCTTGCGTAATATAGATTTTGCCTGGCTTTCCATATCTTCTCTGTAATTACTTTAGACCAACCTTGAAGGAGAACTCAGTGCTTCATTGCCTTTCCCACTCCCATTTTTTAAAAAAAGAGCAGTATGTAGATTTTACTGAAGGTATTGTGGGGCTGCATTATATAGCTCACAGCATGGATCTCCTATATTGCCATTACACAGCTCTGTTCAGGTCATCCCAGATTACTGTGTTCCATTCACTGAGTTTTCTTTTATTGCTCTTTACCAGCTTGGTTTCTAAAATTCCCCTCATTATGACAATTTCTCTAGATTTTTCTCTCAGGCTTCTTTATCTCTCACACTTTTCTACTTCAGAGCAATTTAGTTTCTTTCAAACTTCACCCATCTTATATCCCCATATCAATCATTTAACATTATTTAAAAAATGATTTTTGCCTATTACACATACTCTATATTCTCCTGCCTTTATGAACATTGAAGCAATATCTGCATCTAAAATGATGATAATTATTTAATAATTATTATTTAATAATAATTTTAATACACACTAGAGTCTTGTATTTGCTATGGATAATTACTGATTTTCTTGATCTTACCTGAGTTTTGCAACAGAGAATACTGGACAGGACTCTATCTTTGTGAGTTTCATTTCTTGTTCAGATTTTTTTTTTTTGGTATTATCTTTTTTTAAAAAAAATTTTATTGGAGTATAGTTGATTTGCAATGTTGTGCTAGTTTCAGTTGTACAGCAAAGTGAATCAGTTATACATTACATATATCCACTCTTTTTTAGATTCTTTTCCCATATAGGCCATTACAGAGTACTGAGTAGAGTTCCCTGTGCTATACAGCAGGTTCTTATTATTTACTTATCTGTTTTATATATAGTAATGTGTATATGTCAATCCCAATCTCCCAGTTTATCCCTCCCCTCCCTTACCCCCTGGTAACCATAAGTTTGTTTTCTATATCTGTAACTCTATTTCTGTTTGTAGATAAGTTCATTTGTACCCTTTTTTTAGATTCCACATATAAATGATATCATATGATATTTGTCTTTCTCTGTCTGACTTACTTCACTAAGTATGACAAACTCTAGGTCTATCCATGTAGCTGCAAGTGACATTATTTTGTCCTTTTTTATGGCTGAGTAATATTCCATTGTATATATGTACCACATCTTCTTTATCCATTCCTCTGTTGATGGACATTTAGGTTGCTTCCATGTCCTGGCTATTGTAAATAGTGCTGCAATGAACATTGGGGTGCATGTATCCTTTTGAATTATGGTTTTCTCCAGATATATGTCTAGGGGTGGGATTGCTGGATCTTATGGTAGCTCTATTTTTAGTTTTTTAAGGAACCTCCATACTGTTCTCCAAAGTGGCTGTACCAGTTTACATTCCCACCAACAGTGCATGAGCGTTTCCTTTCTTCACACCCTCTCCAGAATTTACTGTTTGTAGATTTTTTGATGATGGCCATTCTGACTGGTGTGAGGTGATACCTCATTATAGTTTTGATTTGCATTTCTCTAATAATTAGTGATGTTGAGCATCTTTCCACGTGCTTTTTAGCTATCTGTATTCCTTCTTTGGAGAAATGTCTATTTAGATCTTCCGCCCTCTTGTTCAGATTTAATTGGCTTCCACTGGTATGGCTTCTCTTTAATTTGATACTAACTCAAATTTAATGTCTGTTTCCTGAACTTTGAATCAGTATTGTGTTGTATGCATTAAAGAGTGAGACAGATTTCAGATCTTAAGATATTTTGTATTCAGAATTCTAGAGTGGAAGTTAGGCTTCAGGGACTCTGGGAACCTTCTGAAATGGTTTATAAAACTTTGTATGTAGGTACATATGTGGATTTTTCTGGGGAGAGAATTTATTAGATTTACATATTTCCTATCTCTTAATTTGTTAATGGTGCATTCTTGGAGAGCACTGGATTCCAAATCACTGATTTTCTTTTCAGCTGTCTTAATTATATCATTTAGGACATTAAAAAGAAAGCAGAAAAACAAACTAATGACTATATGCTTCATTTCCAATATCTCCAGTTGATTCTTTTTCATCCTTTCCTGTTCTGATCTTTGCTTTATAGATGCTAGTCCTTCATTTATTTCTTTGATGATGTCAATATAATTAATTTTGAAAATTCATGTTTTGAAGATCTGATTCCTTGGGTGTGAATTCTACTATTTGTTGGGTCTTTTGTGGTACTTGATTTCCTCTGGTGCTTTTAAAGTTTTTTTGAGAGCTCATTTAATTGTGCATGTTTCCCCCTCATAACCCCATGTGTGGTTTTGCAGATGTCTCAGTCCTAGTCCCGCAGGGTACACTACTTTGTATGAGGCTAGGAACTGGCAACAGCAACCATCTTTGTCCATAAGGAGTTGGATTGCATTCTTCTTGTGTCTCTTACCAACTTGTGAGGTTTTCTTTAGAGTAAAGATAATTAGCCCTTTGCCATATTGACTTCAAATATTTTTCCAGGTTTTATTTTGCATTTAGTTTTGGTCACAAGATATTTCTCATATTAAATGTTTTTAATTTTTGTAAAACTACAGATTAAAAATTCTGTGATTTCTTTAATTATTATGACTAGAGTCATCTCCAAACCAAAGATTTGACACATTTTCGTTTATATTTTCTTCTGATTTTTTTGTTATTATTTTTGCATTTGAGCTTTTCATCTATCTGTTGTGATCATTAATTAAGTAGTCAGACATAGAGGATTAACATAGAAATCCAGTTACTAAAAGTGGTTGTGAAATAGAAATTTAGTTTTGGGAAATTTTTTTGGAATTTTTTTTAACACCCCACCAACCTTACTTTGTGTTCCAAAGATCACAAATTAGCAGCCTTTCATATTGTACTCAACTAACACAGAGTTTTTAAATTTGTTTTTATAATTTTAATTACTTGCCAATCTGGGGGTGATTTTATATAAAACATCTGGGTTTCTGATGCCTTTGAATAATCCAGAAATGTGGCCACACGTGCTCTACGTTCTTGCATGTAGTGATTTCCTGGGTGGGGTAGTAGGCACACCTTGAACGTAGCTGCCTTTCATCATCCCCTGACTCTTGTTCGTCTACAATTTGCCTAACTCACTTGCACTACTTGATGGGTTCTTGAAGGCATCTGAGTTTGGATCCCCTGGCAGCTGCTGCTATTCCCTGGGTCTACTTTTCATTTCCATGCTGAGCATTTTCCTCTCCAGCGTCTGCCATCATGCATCTTTATATGGAGTGTTAGGGGAGTTTGGTAGGATATGGAGGCAACAGTCACATGTTCAGATGCAAGAGAAAGGTACTACATTTTAATTCTCTCATAATAAGAAATGTGGTTGATATTATGCTTACCTAATATTGAGATATAACTTCTTACAAACCTAACTGCATTAATCAGCTAAAATTCAAAAAAAAAAAAAAGTGAAAAACCAGTTCTTCCTGGTGAATCCAGGAATGAACTATAGCTCAGATATCCTAGCGTGGTGAAAGCTGTTCTCTGTGAGCTACTTACTGGAGTTGGGTGAATTAATTTTTCTCTTGCAGCTCTGTTCCATTTATATTTCCTTAGGGAAGGTAATTGACTAAATGACACCCTTTGTAAGATTGATGAGCAGTTTAGTGCTTGCAAAGACTAGTTTACTTTCAGCTGTCAGACACCTCTTAGAGGAGGCAGTGGGGAATTTGGAAAGGTCTAGAAGAGATACATATATATATATATACATATATATATATATTTTTTTTTTTTTTTTTTTAAATCGTACATGAAACATCCACACTCAGGTGCCCCTTGTATGGTT